CAATTGTTTGTCAATTTCTTATCAGCGATAGAGTGGAGGAAATCACTGTTTAATCACTTCATTAGTGTATTGTTAAAATATTTCAAATACTTATCACTAGTTTTAATGATATTAACAAAACTATTCATTTTTATCAGTTCATTATAAATGTGCAAATAATTCATTATGATAAAAGCAAACAATTCGTTAACTTAATTAATTTCATTGATATGCATATGAAAAGTGAATCTCAAATATAATCAGAAAATTATATGCGAAATGAATGTGTATTTGAGAGTAATTGAGAGTAAAAGGAAAATGAAATGCTATTTGAAGTCATATCCGTCTTAAACGTATGAATGATTGAAAGTTAAATAAAGTTGTTGTAAAAACTAAACACTAATTGGCATTCAATGAAATCAGAAAAATCTTAAGTGTTTTGTATTTGTATTTTGTGTTACAATAGGGAAGAAAATCGTGAATTAGTTCAATGTTAACATTCACTAAATGTTTGCATACTTTTCACTCTCCTTATGAATGCTATGATACCCAAAAATCTTAAGTGTTTTGTATTTGTATTTTGTGTTACAATAGGGAAGAAAATCGTGAATTAGTTCAATGTTAACATTCACTAAATGTTTGCATACTTTTCACTCTCCTTATGAATGCTATGAAACCCACGGTTTAATTGTCTCGGATTTTACCGTAACTTTTGTTTTATAATTTTTCTCAATTGATTGCATGTGTTTTTCATTTAATATATTTTAATAGGAATTTAATTAAATGTTTTAATTTTTAACGCACAGAAGTCTCTGATGTTTATATTATGTGTTTAGTATTTAATTATCATAAATAAATAAGTGGTTGGCATTCAATCGCTGAATTCAATACCATTTACAGCCAACACTTGTTATAGTGGTTCACATTTTACACATTAAAACATTGCGAATATAATTATGCCTTCAAATCCTATTATGGAAATGTAAATACTGTATAATTAATAGCGAACACAGAAAATAGTGAACAAAATATAATTTTCAGTTAAATATAACGTTTTTAGAGAAGTAGTAAAAAAAATGTATTTTTGGTTTTCGAGACCATATTTTTTGGCACAACTTATGTCTCGACAATTGAGAGGAATATAAAAATATTTTTATCACAAATGAACAGCACTTTTGCGGTTCAAAGTACTCTTTCCTCTCTCAATATCTCTGAGTTTGTCTCACTCTTCACGACAGTTGTTATTTAGCGACCAATTCATGGCTTTTTTGCGCTTATCTATCAGTAAAACGCGAGGCATTTGTTTCCTGAACTACAGAATATAATAAACATTGTGTTTTGATTATTGTGTCTAAAAATCACTTTTAACGTCAATTTTATCGCAATATTTCTGTGAAATTTTGATTTCTATTGTGTAAAACGGATTCAAAATTTATTTGTTTAAAAATATTCCCATTTTTATATTGTTTTAAAAGTTTTCAAAACTTGTTTTAATTGTATCAAAATGTGTGACAATATATTGAATTCTTCGTTGGAATATATCGATGATAATTGTCATCAAAATGTTTACCAGTATTTGTTTAAACAATTATTGATACACAAGGAAAATGATTTAATTGTAAGTTTAATGTTTTTAATTATAGTTATATTACTCTAATTTAACAATAATCATGACTTTATAGCCTAATCTATAAAGTGCTGTCAAATCTATTTATAACATATTGTGACATAAATTTGTTTATTCAGAAGAGTCGACAAATTTTATAAATGCTATTTAAATATAGATTCTTATGAATGCTGTTTAATATATATTTTAACAATTAATACAAACATTAGTATAATTATTATAATATTGTAGTTAAAATATTCTCACAATTTATTAATAACTTACAGATTGATTACACGAACGGTGTTTCACTGAATGGACAACAAATCAATGATTTATCGCATTTAGTAACGAATCTATTGCTTAATGAATATGATGTGCAAAACGACGATATCGTTTGCTTCATGTGTGCCAACCATTACTTTCAAACAATCGCTTTGCTATCAGTTTTAGAGGCCGGAGGGGTTTGTCTGTTCCTGAGTGACAGGACAACTGATGGTAAATCTCGTCATCAATGTTTAGAAATTTAAATATTTTACTCAATTATACTTTTCTATTGTGTTTAACGACAGCCGAAGTCGAGAATATATACAACGAAACAAAATTTAAATATTTATTTTGTGGCGAAAAAAGCGAAGCGATTGCCAAAAAACTTGTCAATAATTTCCCAGAAATTAAAGTAATTTTTTGATAGCATATTATTTTTTGTGTCATTTATTTTATTGTTATTTATTTACTTTACTTTTTCATAATTTAGAAAATATTCATTGTCTCTGAAGAGGAATATGAATCTGAAGACAAAATATTGCATTTCAAACATCTATTAAATTGTAAAATAAGTGATAATAAGAGGAAACCTGTGGACAGAAATGAATCGGATATAGCGGTCATTAAACTTACCGGCGGTACTAATGATGGGAGGCGTCGATTAGTGGCCAAAACACATTCAAATCTCATTCATGCCATTCAACAAATGCAAGACAAAGAGATTTTATGCAACAATAGTGAAGATGTGATCATTTCGTTACCATTTGACAAACTGTTTGCCATTGAATTTCTTATGAGTTCATTAGTCGGCGGCTCAAAGACAGTGATAATTAATGGCACTTTTGACACAAACATTGGTTCATATTTGGATAGCATTCAAAGTTATAAAGTCTCAAAACTGATCTGCTTTTCATCGGATGTGAATCTATTGATCAAAAATGAAGTCAATCTCTTATATAACATGTCGAGTATTAAAGAGATTTTATATATAGGAGTCTTTGATGACTACAATAATGTGAGACAAAGTGTGGAGAATATGTTTAAATGCAGATATTTTAGAGGAGGTATACATTTACAAGAATTTTTTAGACAATAGTTTTAATAATTATTTAATGTATTTTGTATTTAATCCATAGTTTATGGGACCACAGAATCGGGAGTAATTGCCTGTTTACGCAAAACAAAATCATTTCAATACAACTCGTATTCTTCGGGACAACTGATAAGTGGGACACAACTGAAAATAGTTGATATGAAGAGCGGCGATACACTACCCGCCCATCGGATTGGAGAAATTTGTGTTAAAAGCAAACAATTAGGACACGAATATCTATCGGACACTATTAATGTCTCAAAAGCCAATAATATGACAACTGATGGTTATTTTAAGACATCTGACGCCGGATATTACGATAGCGACGGCAATGTGTATATCGAGTCCAATGCGTCCGACATTATATACATCGAGGACCAGATGTTTAAACCAAATGAACTCCAATTACTGCTTCTGTCACATCCAGATGTGATCGACACTACAGTTATCGGTATTCATTGCGAAGACATTGACCCCGATTACGATACTGTGGCCGCAGATGAAGACCAAGAATGTCCATTCAATGATCAATTGAACAATACTTTTAAGATATTTGTTGTGCTGAAAGTGGGTTCAGAGACAACAGATCTGGACTTAATTAACTACATTAACGATAGGGTTGAGCCAATCAGACAAATAGATTCCGGTATTTTTGTTGTCGACGTATTGCCGCGAAATAGTGTCGGCGTTATTAACAGAAGCGCTTTAATTAGATATTAAATGCCATTTAACACAATCACTTCAGACTCAGGAATAACAGTGAAATTAATTGAATTTAATGTGTTTTTTGGTAATGTTTTAAAATTATTGTTCATATAATGACAATTATAAAAACTAATTATAACTTATGGTCGTTGTGTAAAGTGAGTGAAAGTTTTTTTTACTAATCATTACATTATTTTATAAATGTTATTTTGTATATATTTTAATGATGTTTTAGTAATTTTAATATAACAGTAACTCAATTGTGAAACAAAACGATTACATGAAAATCACAGACAGTTTTTCAATCAATCAATTTATTTGCTAAAAATGATATTCAAAATAAAACCGCTTCACAATTGGTGTCAATATTCATGATTATATGCGTGACTATTGCTTTTGAGGGAAGGGTTGGCCGAAGAATGTCTTTGGGAAGAAGAAAGTGCCGCCTTCGCTGCCCTGTTCTTCACCCCATTTGTGCTGAAGATGTTCCGGGATTAGAGACGCTGCCGATGACGGGCTGCTTGATCTCAAAGTAGTTGGCCGAAGAATGTCTTTGGGAAGAAGAAAGTGCCGCCTTCGCTGCCCTGTTCTTCACCCCATTTGTGCTGAAGATGTTCCGGGATTAGAGACGCTGCCGATGACGGGCTGCTTGATCTCAAAGTGCTGGACCTGACCGGCGAAGCGGCCGGAGAGCGGTTGATAGGAGTCGGGGGAGGAGTCGGAAAAAGGTCGAAGTTGTGGCCGGGGGTGAGTCCAACGGGCGAACCGCTCCGGATTGGTGTCGACGACAGGGTTTGAGTTTGTACTGAAGTGGTCGTTACGGACGACATTCTTGACGGTACTGGCGATGACGTTTGACTGGTGCCGACCGCATGGGTAGAGGTGGACACTGAAAACAGTCTCGGTCTTTGAGAGGCTGCCGGTGATGTGCCGCTTGATCTCAAAGTGCTGGCCATCACCGGTGAGGCGGCCGGCGAGCGATTGATAGGAGTCGGTGGAGGAGTCGGAAAAAGGTTGAAGTTGTGGCCGGGGGTGAGTCCAACGGGCGAACCGCTTCGAATTGGTGTCGACGACAGGGTTTGAGTTTCTACTGATCTGGTCGTTATGGACGGCACTCTTGACCGGACTGGCGATGACGCTTGACTGGTGTCGACCAAACCAGGAGTGGCGGCGGACACTGAAAATAGTGTCCTTCTTTGGGGTGTGCTTTGGGTACTAAGCGCTGCACTCCCGGGAGAGCTATAGCCGGCGTCCAGAGACCCACTTCTGATCAGACGGGCAGTCGATGGTGTGATGGGTGAGGCGATTGGTGTCACCGGTCTCGCCATCTGAGTCGATGGCCCACCAAATAATACTTTCGGGAATATAAATATGGAGTCACCCATCCTTTGTTCGCTCCACTGGCCTCTGAGCTCTGGCCGAACCACTCGTTGGTCTTCTGGTATTTGACCGCTGGTATCAACTCTCGCGTGAATCGGTTGCGGACGGAGTTGAGTGACTCTTTCTGAAGGAGGTATGCTTTGCGCTCTAATCGGTGACACTCTTTGCGGTGAAGGAACAGTTGTTGTCGTGGGAACTGCTCGCGGAGATAACGGCTGACCAAAGAATGTCTTCGGATATATGAGAGTTGAATCTCCGACCCTGTGTTCGGCCCAGAGATCACTCAATTCTGCCGGTATGAGAGACTCGCCTGAAACTCTTTGCTGTCCACCGCTGGCCACTCCTGTATAACTCGGCACATATTGTCGGCTTTGAGTAGCGGTCGGAACCCCTCTCGGAGTCAACGGCTGACCAAAGAATGTCTTCGGATAGACGAGAGTGGAGTCTCCGGTCTTGTGTTCAGCCCAACTGTGTCTGAGGTCTGGCGGCACCAGTGAATCGTCCGGACGTTGGCTTTGGCTGTCATCGTATTGAATGTCGCTGTCGTCGAGACCTATTCGCGCGCNCGTTGGCTTTGGCTGTCATCGTATTGAATGTCGCTGTCGTCGAGACCTATTCGCGCGCCTTTTCGTGTCTGACGGACAGTCTTGGGTGTGGTTTGCGCTCTAATTGGTGACACTCTTTGCGGTGAAGGAACAGTTGTTGTGGTGGGAACTCCTCGAGGAGATAATGGTTGACCAAAAAATGTCTTCGGATAAACAAGAGTGGAGTCTCCTGTCTTGTGTTCAGCCCAACTGTGTCTGAGGTCTGGCGGCACCAATGAATCGCCCGGAAGTTGGCTTTGACTGACAGTCTTTGGTATGGTTTGCGCCACTCTTGGAGACACTCTGGGAGACAATGTGTGACTCGTTTGGCTGATAGTCGAGAGGTTGAGAGCAGAGCCATAGGCGCTGTCGTCCGAACCACGTCTTGTTTTAGTGACTCCTACTGGAGAAGGAGTTGCGGTCATTGGTATGGTTTGCGCTCTAATTGGTGACACTCTTTGCGGTTGAGGAACAGCTGTAGTCGTGGGAACTGCTCGCGGAGATAATGGCTGACCAAAGAATGTCTTCGGGTATATGAGAGTTGAATCTCCGACCCTGTGTTCGGCCCAGAGGTCACTCAGTTCTGCCGGTATGAGTGATTCGCCTGAAACTCTTTGCTGTCCACCGCTGGCCACTCCTGTATAACTCGGCACATATTGTCGGCTTTGAGTAGCGGTCGGAACCCCTCTCGGAGATAACGGCTGACCAAAGAATGTCTTCGGATAGATGAGAGTGGAATCTCCGGTCTTGTGTTCAGCCCAACTGTGTGTGAGGTCTGGCGGCACCAATGAATCGCTCTGAAGTTGGCTTTGGCTGACAGTCTTTGGTATGGTTTGCGCCACTCTTGGAGACATTCTTGGAGACAATGTGTGACTCGTTTGGCTGATAGTCGAGAGATTAAGAGCAGAGCCATAGGCGCTGTCGTCCGAACCCCGTCTTGTTTTAGTGACTCCCACTGGAGAAGGAGTTGCGGTCATTGGTATGGTTTGCGCTCTAATTGGTGACACTCTTTGCGGTGAAGGAACAGTTCTTGTCGTGGAAACTGCTCGCGGAGATAATGGCTGACCAAAAAATGTCTTCGGATAGATGAGAGTGGAGTCTCCGGTCTTGTGTTCAGCCCAACTGTGTCTGAGGTCTGGCGGCACCAGTGAATCGTCCGGACGTTGGCTTTGGCTGTCATCGTATTGAATGTCGCTGTCGTCGAGACCTATTCGCGCGCCTTTTCGTGTCTGACGGACAGTCTTGGGTGTGGTTTGCGCTCTAATTGGTGACACTCTTTGCGGTGAAGAAACAGTTCTTGTGGTGGGAACTCCTCGAGGAGATAACGGCTGACCAAAGAATGTCTTCGGGTATATAAGAGTTGAATCGCCGATTTTGTGTTCAGCCCAACTGTGTCTGAGCTCTGACGGCACCAATGAATCGCCGGCGAGTCCTTGAGATACACGACTGGCCAAACCCACACCACTTGCTTGTGATACCGGAGCCAACGGTTGGCCAAAGAATGTCTTCGGGTATATGAGAGTTGAATCTCCGACCCTGTGTTCGGCCCAGAGGTCACTCAGTTCTGCCGGTATGAGTGATTCGCCTGAAACTCTTTGCTGTCCACCGCTGGCCACTCCTGTATAACTCGGTTCATATCTTCGGCTTTGGGTAGCGGTGGGAACCCCTCTCGGAGTCAACGGCTGACCAAAGAATGTCTTCGGATAGATGAGAGTGGAGTCTCCGGCCTTGTGTTCGGCCCAACTGTGGCTCAATTCTGGAGGAATCAAAGACATCGTCTGATGAAATGTCAACGCGATGTCAAGTCTTTGGGATCTACAGTAAGCACCAGGACTTGAATAGAGATGATGGCGATTGTCAACCACTGTCTGTATAGAGAAATAACTGTCGATTAAATTCAAAAGTTTACAATAATAGACAACGCGATGTCAAGTCTTTGGGATCTACAGTAAGCACCAGGACTTGAATAGAGATGATGGCGATTGTCAACCACTGTCTGTATAGAGAAATAACTGTCGATTAAATTCAAAAGTTTACAATAATAGGCGATAATATCGCGAGTATTCAAAATGTTTTATGCATTCAAACGCATTGTATTTAAGTCTAAGAATATATGTGAAGATAATTGTTGTAAATGTGAGATCCAGTGGTCATTGTTGGCTATACTCACAATATATGGTAAATTGAAAAAGTATATCGCAATTCAAATACAATATAAGTGTTAGAAACTAACGGACATTAGACTCGTATTTTGAATATATTTAAAACCACATCTAATTCGCTAAAAGAATGTCAAATATCCATCACTTGTTCCGCAAGTCTAGTGTCTTAAGATTAAAGTCTATTAAATGGCAATCAATGGATAGATATCTATCGGATGGGAGACGTTATGTCTTCAAACCGAGTGAAGTGGTGGACAAAAAGTATAGAAAGTCGTGCCAAACATGCGATCAAAAGAAACACGAAAAATGGGCCGAAAAACTGTTCGCTTCTTCGGCTCAAAGCAAACCTACTTTAAAACCGAGAAAAGATAAGAAGGACTACAATGAATCATAAGATGAAAAGTAGATTATTATTTAAATGTTAGACAAAAGTGTTGAATACGTTATCAAAACTGAATTTATAAATTAGAGTTTAAAACTAATTTTAATAAAACAAAAAATTATTAAAAGTTGTTTTGTAATTTATTAAATATTAAACAAATGCGTGAATCAGCGCTGATTTGGACACTTATACATCTTATTGATACTTTCGGCGTCGAGTTTAGTCATATGGTTCTTATCGTAGGGCTCTTTGAGGCGGTGGTTCTTGTTCTTGGGCTCCATTGTCATGTGTCCGTCCTTTGAGAAGGCTGTGGAGGAATAGATCATAATCGAGTCGTAATCAAATTTGGCCAGAAGTCGGTTCATATGCGAGGGATTCTTCTCGAAGTTGACGTTCATTCCGGGCATTACGTGATTCAAATGGATTATCAAATAGGAGTCCCGATCCGACCGCATGTGCTCGTGAAAGAAGCCCATGGCGTGCATCAACTCGTGTATAACAGTGCCCCTCCACATGCAACCCCTCCCCAGTGACAGGTCCTGCGAACCGCCCACTCGTCCCACATATGAATAACAGCTATTGGTTTATAATAGCAATCAATTTGTTAATTGTAGTGATAATTAGCTGTTGGGATACAAACCCTCGGCCTTTAATGATATTAATGTAATCCTTTTGTTTGGTCCTCTGTTTGAATCGAATACACGACAAGCTTTCGATCTCTTGCATCGCCGAAGCGATCACTGACTTCTCATAGGCTATACATTAAAGACAATTCACAGAATATGATCATTGATTTGATGGTTCGCTTACCAGTGAACTGGACTTTGGGTGCGAACCGGTAGATAACGTTACCGCCCGGCCATTGCCTGCGAGTGGACGACGAGGCCTTCCTCATCACCGCCTAATTGCCGCTTAAATTATGTTTTAAAATCATATTCAGAGAAATGTATAGTTTGTATACCTTTTGATTGGGCTGTTGTGGCATAATTCCCATCATATCTCCGCCATACCGTTCCCTATTCTCGGTCACAGTTTTGCTTTTAGGTATATCCTCTTCAGGCGGTGGTGTGCTTTCCTCATCCGTTACTATCAATTGGTTTCAATTAAAATTGATTTATTTTCAAAGCATTTAAAAAATTTTCAAATTACCATTAATTGCGATTAATGTATGAATTTGTATAAAAAGTAGTAAAATAATCTCAATTCTCATTCTGTCATAACTGACATTGAATTCAATCATATAATTATTGTCTCTAATGTTATTCACTAAACTATTGTCACATATTTGTCATTACATCATATATTGAGAAGAATAATTAGCAAATCGTCACTCATTTGATTAAACAGACGATATGTTTCGCACAAATGTTAATACAAGTGCTGATTGTTTTTTGCAATACATATTCTCAATTAATTAAATACCAAATTAACATTATTTTGATTTGAACCAAAAAGTACTAACGAATGGTACAGTTAAATATTGATTGATTACAAATCAATGATTTTATAGTACATTACAAAAATGCATTACATTTCAAAAGCATATTTTGAAAAAGCAAATAAAAATATCGTTTAGCATTCAAATGAACGTATATTTCTAAATATTTCTAATCATTTTCTTTGTTAATTAAAAAATACTTTTTATGTAAATCCGGAAAAATCAAACAAATTACTCAATTATTTGCTAAACGATTGGGTGTTCTCTAAATTATTTTCCCATTAATACTTCATTCAAATAATTAGTAAACATTAACTGATTTTCAAAATTAATTTTTTTATTATCCAATAAAAAAGAAAATTACATTTGAATTAATATTGAAAATGAGTGGAAAATCAAATCAAATAATCACTGAAACTTTTGATATGGGAATCAATTAATTAGAAGTTATAATTATAAATCTATAGGAATAGAGTAACGGCTGTTAGAAATCTAATAATAATTCATTGGTTTTTCTACCGTTTGAAACAATTACAGAATAATTAAGAATGAAATAAATTAATGAATCAATTAATCAAAATGTGGTAAAATTAAGTAATAAAATATTTGGCGAATTGAATGTAACGTAAATCTATTGATCGCCGTCAGCGCCGACAGCTGTCACAGTAGTGGTATCGAAATGAACACTTCTGTCTCTCCTGGTTCTGGTGTCTCCCCTTTGCTTCTGTAATCGTGAGCTCTCTTCTGCCGTATCGTCCGATTCGACAAAATCGTTGGCCATTTCGACACTGATT